TGTGTGTACTGTCAAATCAGATCTAACTGGTACAGGAGGAAATAGTCCCATCTTCTCTAGCAGAGCGTCTAGTGGATTCAAACTGCTCACCTCTGGGACTGCAGTGCAGCTTAGGCCACCAGAGCTCAAGTAAAAATATTTTTTTAAAAAATTCATCTTTAAAAAAAAAATTCATCTTTTGTATTGTTTAAAATTCTCAGCAGAGCCTATTTTCTTTTCTTTATTTAGAAACTTTATCAGTTCTGAGATCTTGTGAGCTTCTTGTCAAATGAAAAGCTTACTGAATGTTAAAAGGTGATACCGTGGGGAAATTCACTCACATGCATCATATATTTCACTCACTGACACTGAGTCATTCTGACTCAGTGATCCAAGGCTGTAGATCTTTACATGGGAGGAGACTGCTCATCTTTTTAGATGGAGCTGCTGGTGAATTCAAAATGCACGAAATGCATGGCCTTTTGAACTAGGACTAGGACTTAGACACCAGAAGTCCTTGACAAGGAACTAGAATGCCAAATTTCTATAGCTAGCTTAAGGCCATGATGTTTATGAAATCATTCAAATTAAGGCGGTCAAAATATCAAGAATAGTAAAAGAGGCAAAGCTGCAAAGTTCAAGATATTATAGACTATTACAGTAAGTTCTTTGCAAAGTAATTTTGGGAAAAAAAATAAATTTTCAGATTTAAAAAAATAACACCCCAAAACCACCATAGAGGGAGCTCTGGCGGCTAAGTGGGAAGGGATTAAACTGCCAACCTAAAGGTATGTAGTTCAAATCCAACAGCTGCTCCATGGGAGAAAGATGGGCAATCTCTACCCAGGCAATTTATTGCCTCTGAAAACTCAGTGTGGGGTCAATTGGGAGTTGATTCTGACTTGAAGCTGCAGAACAGCAGCATATAAACCATGCACAATTTGCTTATAGATGTAACTTGATGTTAAAGATTAATTAAAGAAGTGATTTCTAAAAATTTCTACGAAGTTGGGAATAGAAATAGGATTGGAAAAAAGCTTAAAGAGGAGGAGAGGATACAATTAGAGAAGGGAATAATTGTCTGCTAGTATAAGCAGGAAAGGTCAATCCCCCAGTAATACTATACCTAACAGCTGGCTGTGTTCCCCTGTGATGGAGTTCTGATTCGGGTCTGAAAAACAAAACAATTGAAAAGAAAAGAAAAAAATGAATGACCAAAACAAATAAGTTTTAAAAATCAGCAACAAAAATCAACCAAGGAAATAAGCAAAAATGAAAATAAATTCCTTAAGAAACATCAAGGGGGTGGAAGGAAAAGAACGAACTGTTGTTATAAGAAGCAATCATACAAATTAGACCAAAGAACATTAGTTCCATGAAGAAAAACATGATTCAGTACGTAGGATAAGTTATATTTTCTTTGAATGGCAAAGAACATAAAGCCATAATAGCTAAAAGGCTGGGCATAAGCACCCATTTATAATTTTCAGGGATGTTCTCATTTGGCTTTAAGATAGAATGACTAACTTGGCTTTTCAAAGCTCTTTGTTGTTGTTTAGTGCCATCTCTGCAATTATGACTCATAGCAACTTTACAAACAACAGATCTGAAACTTGCTGTATCCGGAGCCATCACAATGAGCTCAGTCATGCCCAAGCCCACTGTAGTCACTGTGTCAATCTTTCTCATTGAAGGTTTTCCTCTCTCTGACCCTCCATACCTTTTCCAGTAGGATGTTTCTGTTCAAGGGCTGGACCCTCTAAACAACATGCCCAAAGTATACGAGATGAAGTTTCACCATATTTGCCTCTAAACTCATTAGTAATCCATAATAAAATAAATTTGTGCTAATAAGCCAAGTTCTTAATGCAATAGATATTGACAACTACCACTTAACTAACACTATTTGATAAATATGGAAAAGATCTTGAGCTCCACCTTTCTCAAAAATTAAATTTCTTGAGACAGAGAGGTTTACATTTGGCTTCCTAGAATGTGCTAAGACAATAAACATAATTTCAGAACAGGAAACTTACATATTTACTTTTAAAACTCTCACTACTGTAGAATAAATTTTGACTCCACGGGATTTCCAAGGCTGTAAATTATAAAGGGAGGAGAATACCCATCTTCCTCCTGCTGAACTACTCTAACTGAAGTGTAAAGGCTCTGCTTATGCAGTAGTTATAGCACTTGTTGTTGTGTATGGCTGAATCTGGCGGGTTTTCAGGGCTGTTAATCACACGGGAAGACACTGCCCAGCCTTCTCCTCCAGAGAAGCTGATTAATTTGAACTGCATACCTTTGGGATTGCAGTGCAACTTTTTGCCAGTAGACCAGTTGAAACATTTAGCTACTTACAAAAGTTTGGTGGTTTGAACCCAGGGAGGAGTGATGTGACAATCTGCTTCTGTAAAGACTGTAGCCTTGGGAGTTCCAGGTGTAGTTCTAAACTATTTTATAAAATTCCTAATAGAATCAACTTGATGACAATATGTTTAACTCAAGTTTAGTATTATTTCCAATGATAAGATAGGCAACCAACCACACTGAAGTAATTCTTGGAGGTACTAAACTTCTGATTTCCATAGTTGGAAATCAGAAAATTTCATAATACATTACATTTGTAACATATTATATCTTTTAGGCTACATATGACTAAATTTTTGAAATGATGGTATATATGTGATTAACAATTCTTAAGATACAGTGTACAGATAAATACTTATCAATTTAATATCTTTAAACTATATTTTGTATAACAGGTTCCATAATTCTATATGTTGAATTTCATATATGATGTGTATGCAGGGAGCTCTGATGGTCTACTGGGTAGGGAGTTGTGCTGCCATCCCAAAAGCAGATAGTTTGAATCCACCAGCAGCTCTGGGAAAAAAATGGGAAATCTCTCACACAATTTACAGCCACTGAAAATCTGCTGGAGTATCAGCTATGTGTTGACTCCAACTTAATGGCAATGATTTCAGAAATAAAGACTATAACTTGTTCTTTCATGTAAGTAAAAACAGAATAAGAGTACCATAGTAAATAAATAGTATATATATATGTGTGTATGTGTATATACATAAATATATACATACAAACATAAATCAATGTACAAACTGGGCCTTATCAGTATACAGATGCAAGTAACACACAGGGAAGTAAAGAATCAGAATTGTAAAATAAAAAGAACCTTGGTAATCAAATAGATTTACTGTAGTGATACTAAGGAAAAAGTGGGGAGGGGTTAACATTATCATCTATATTTCCTTGAAAACTATACCAACATCCCTTTCTCAAGATTTTGACTGTCAATTACAATTACTAATGGCAGTGCCTCAGGTAGGCTGTGATAAAACGAAGTTGAGGATCTCTAATCAATACCTTAATATTTGTAGTTGAGAAAACTATCGTTTGGGTTAGTCAAAGAATGATAATAGAAATCGAGATAGATAATGTCCTTGATGCCTTCAGAACCGATCCTCATGTCTTCCTACTCTGTAATTCTAAGATTCTGGTCCTAAAATAGTAGCCAGAAACAAGTTATTTAGAAGTCTAAGGGAATGTGTTAAATAAACAGAAAAATATTTCAAATAACTCAGGCAAAATAGTATGGTTTTAGGAGGGGGGAAAGGAAATTACTTTTCTTCTTAGAAATAATGAACTCCTTCATTACTCTATACTTCCTGTCCATACACAGAGGATTAGTGTACATTCCATAGCTAAGCCAGCACTCATCCTTTGACACCTTCTTATATCAGAGATAAATAGGAAAGAAGAGTTTTCTTTTTTTTTTTTGAAAGAAGAGTTTTCTACAAGACATTGTTTCTCATATGTTATACTTAATGGAAGCAGGGCAATCCTTTAAGGGTATTTCTGGGTTATGTAAGTCAAATTGTGCAATCAACATAAATAGTCCTACTCTGAGTTTTATCTGGGCACCTTTCTATTGTCCTTTATCTGAACCCTCTAAATGTCTTCCTGCCTGTGTGAGGACACACCCAAATTTCATAAGACTTGGAGTTATCCTAAATATAATTCAAAATGGAATTTCTTTTAACCACATTAATTTCTGTCATAGGAACCATTTGTCAATAATACCACTATTTTCTCTAATGGTTTCTTAAGTCAAACTATCTGTTGGTTACAATATACCTAGTATACTCAAAACACTGAAATGTATTACCAGTTAAATGGTGACAAACAAAAGAAACAAACAGATGTAATTTCACAACAGATAATATAATCAGAAAATAAACTAAAAATATTTCCTTGAAATAATAAGTATATGGTAGTTTTAGGATTATGAATTTTCTCAGTATATTTAATTTATCATAGATAAACAGTAAAACCCAGATTTTACTTAGATTCGTATCATGTACTTTGCTAAATGGAGACAGAAAAATGTAGGTAGTATTCATTTGCAAAACTATCTCTGAAAATAGTTGCTTTTTACCTCTTGAAGAGCTTGTTACCTTAATTTGTCTATGGCAATAGCCTGATCCTGACTTTCTTTAATAATCACTCAAGCTACCATTCTTGGTAGAGTTTAAGGTGTACAGTATTTTAAATTTTGATTAAAGATAGAATCAGTAATTTAATGAAATAACATGAAAGCAGAAACTGTTGCCTAATTGCTTAAATAACGAATTATGACTAAGTACACTTTATAATAATTACACATATGTCAGGGCAACTAAATATGCCACTAGCTAGATTAACCAAAATTTACTACAGCCAAGCTTAACCTAGGAAATTTCTAACTTTCTAGAGTCTGATATATTAAAAAACAAAAGCAGCAGTACCGTAATAAGAAACCATTCTGACTCTGATCTAGGCAAGGCAGAAGCAAAAATTCTAACTAACTCTATCCCACAAAGATAAATATTGTAAAAAACCATTATTGTAGAATGAGTATAAGGATCCAAGAGGGATGGAAGAGGGTAGAAGCAGAGGGATGAGGATGTTGCAGTGGGGGATTAATCATGGGGCTGTACAATTTATTGGGGGAAGAGTGAGGGAAAAAAATTGTTCTTAAAAACAATGTATTCAAATTTTATAAATAAACTAGAAGATAATTTTGAAAACATTTCTAACTTTTGCGTTTATTACATTCTGCATCCATATACTAGTAGGTTCTCACCTTATTAGTAAACAAACTAAGTAACAAAATTTGAAACAACTATGTTATCGTAGAGATTCTAAATTTATTTCATTATTACTGAAATTATTTAGGAAAATTAACAAGTAATTTGGTGGGATTAAATAGGTTAAAAAAATTACAGGAAATTTTTTAGGCCAAGCAATTAAACAGAGTGATGGAAATGTAAGCTTCATGTATATAAAATTCAGTTATTAAAAAGTAAAACTTACTGTATTAAAAAATTACAATTAAAATATGTAACAAAATATGCACCATGCCAACAATTTTGTACATGTATAGTTCAGTAATATTTAATACATTATTCAGGTTGTACACACATGCTCATTATACTTTTCCAAATCATCGCAACACTATTAACATAAATTCCATTAATCACTGGTTCTATTTCTCGGGTACCCCATAAAAGAGAATGTTTAAAAAAAATCCTCATTAAAAAAAATCCTTATTCAAGTTTTTAATAGAATAAAAATATAATTTAAAAACGATATTTAGTCTATGTTGGTTAAAAAAAAGATAATCTCTACTGGGATTCCTAGTTTATCCAGCTAATCATGGATTGAATAAACTTTAGTAACATACTGAGCCACGAGTATATCTTCATGTAGAAAAATCTGTACAAATAAAAATGTCAGTTTGTAAAGTCTCATGCTCACAGTAAAAAAACTGTGGTCCCAAACTATTCTTACATAAATACACACCTGATATATGGTTTTTACAATCACCCTGCACATACTGTCCTATGCAATTATATGAAGGAGCAGAAATACAAGGTAAAATGTAAACAGTTGTCCTGGCAGAGAAGAAACCACACAGAGAGGTGTGAAAAACAAACAAAACCCACTTAAAGCTTAGGAACAATGAATTTTAACTTTTAGTGTCATTACAAAATCCCAGCCCTTTCTTTATTCACTTGTCTAAACTCCCTAAACTGGTGCCCTGACTCCCTGGGCCCTGTCTTTTCTAGCAGTTATATCATGTCCTTTCTCTTTCTTTCACCTTTCAAG